GAATGCAGGGTCAGTGTAGGAAGGAAGAGGAATTCATTGTTTTGCTCTTTGACCCTACTGCCATCCCTAAATGTTAATAATGCTCTGAAGGCCTTTACTTTTATTTTTTTTAGACAAGTTTTCACTATGTTGATCAGGTGGGCCTAAAATTCAAGATTCCCCCACCTCAGCCTCCCAGTTAGCTGGGACAGGTGTGCATTGCACCTGGCAGAGTGACTACTTTCAACAGTAGCTTTGTATCTGCCGTAAATATGCCATAGTGGTTATGAACTTGGAGCCTAGGACTGAAGTCTCTGGGTCCAAAGAGCAGCTCTCTAGTTCATAAGCTGCATGAGTGGCAAGTTATTTAATTGCTTCTCATTGCATGTGTAGACTATCTTACCCTTTGTGTTGAAGATCCAAGTTGATAAGGTAGAAGAGATCCCTTTGTAAAACACCAACAGCTGATAGTGGCTTTCTGTGTCAGGCAGTACTCTGACTGCTTCCCAAGTATTAGTCACTTACTTCTTAGGACAGTTTGGTGGGATGAAGAACCGATGTATAGGGAGGAAAGTCATTGGCAGCACGGAGACATCTAAGAGTACAGTTGCAAAGTTATGGTTGAAGGCGTTTTGTCTCCCAGCTGGTGAGACCATGACTATGTGGTGGCTATTAATGAGCTCCCTCCCTGTCCACCAGCCTCATTTAAAGAGCACCCCCTTCCCCCCACACCAGCAGTTAGTGTAATGGCTATGCCACTGAACTCCCATGTAGTTGACCGCAGTTCGAGTCCCAGACCTGGTGGCTTAAACTCAAGCCGGGCGCATGTGCCTGCGTGCCCAAGATCCCGAGAGAAGAATGGAGGAGAAGGGATTGCAGCGTGGCCATCCCCCCGGGGGGTGATTTCTCACTTTCTATCTCTCTGTCTCTCTCTTGTCTTTCTGGTGAGCACACACACCCTATAACAAGAACCTCTCAAAAAAAAAAATTAAAAAGAGGAGCACCCCCCACATGCGATATGTCACCCTCTCCTGAGTAAGGACTAGCCAGGAATGTTATTTATTTTTCAACAGATCTGGTTGATATTTTACTCAGGTGTCTGGGTTCTCCTGCTGGTCTTTATATAAAGCAGTGGTTGCCAGCATTGGAACAAATTCGACCTCATTTTCTGAGAAACTCCCTACCTTTATGAATGTCATAGTCCTGCGATCTGTCTCCATGCACGCCTGTGTAAGCCTACACATGTGCACACACATGCAAAACACAGGCACACACATATGTGCACACACTCAAATGCTTTCTATGTACCAACATCTTTGCTAGGGACTTTTTTCTCTTAGTTCTCCCACCAACCTTGCAGGTAGATATTGTCAAGGAGTGAAAAGGACTAGTGAGGTTAAATATCATGCTAGAGGTTACACACAGCGCCAAGATTCTCATCCATTAGGTCAGACTCCAAATCTCACAGCACTTCTATTACAAAAAGCCAGTTAAGTTCTGTTTTTCTCCCCACCTGTAGTCTTATCAGTTTCTTCCTCTGTTTTTTTTTTGGTGGGAGCCTAATCTGAGGCCCACCATCTCATTATTCAATTTTCAATCTGAGTTCCTCCCCCAACAGTTATTGATTGACACGTCAGCTTCCCGTAAGAACAGACACCACGAAAAGAGAAATGATCCTGTACCGCGTGGTACATTTCAGGGAGTCACAGGTTGTCCCCCGCCAACTCGATTTACCTGAGGGCTACTCTTCCAAGGCGCCCATGCGGTTACTCAGCGGTATGTTTTGAGACTGGGTGAGAAACTCGGGCAGCAGATTCCGAGGGCACAGCGAGTGGAATCCGCTCAGCTCAGTGAACTTGGAGTGGTTCATCAGGAAGCTGGTGCCGGTGGAAGAATTCAAGGAATGCGGCCTGATGCCGGGGCAGCTCCAGAGCCCGGTCAGGTGACAGGCTGCACCTCACCCAGCAGAGTTACCTCGGAGCGGGAGTGAAACGCTCTGTTTCCTGGGGTGACACACAAAGCCTGCTCCAGTCTAGGAGAGTTGTTTTTAACAGAGAAAACAAAACTGTCTGTGTTCGTGAAAATCTAGACTTTCTCTGGGAAGAATGGGGGCGGGGGCAGGAGACGCTGCGAGAAACGGTTCTTAGCAGGAACCCGAGCAGGTGAATGGGATGGCTGCTGGGAGCCGGCTCAACAAGCCCCAGAGAGAAGAGAACTGCAGCTTAATGAATGCTTCCCTCCCCTCAGATTTCACCCACAATTTGGAACACTGGGCGTTTTTGTCCAGCAAGAGTCATGGCTCCTAGAGAAATGATTCTTAGGCTGTACCTCTACATTAATGTTGCCTAGTTTAACAATGTGGACACTTGCTACTGAAACAAATTTACCCACAAACATGTGGCTTCTTTCTTTCTTCTTTCTTGTTTTCTTTCTTCTTTTTTTCTTCTTTCTTCTCTCTCTTTCTTTCTTTCTTTCTTTCTTCTTTCTTTCTTTCTTCTTTCTTTCTTTCTTCTTTCTTTCTTTCTTCTTTCTTTCTTTCTTCTTTCTTTCTTTCTTCTTTCTTTCTTTCTTCTTTCTTTCTTTCTTCTTTCTTTCTTTCTTCTTTCTTTCTTTCTTCTTTCTTTCTTTCTTCTTTCTTCCCTTCTTTCTTTTTTCATTTTCTTTACTGGGAAGATCTTTGAACCAGAAACGTTGGATTTATACTTTAAAAATTAGTTCATCCTGCTCAACCTATCGACATGCCCGTGGAGAAAAAGGCACCAGAACCCTTTCCTATTGATTAAACAGCTCACAGCACATTTGAAAAATCATGTTTTTTTCTTTTTTAACTGTATGAGTCTCTAACCTATTTTGCCTGTAGTAGGTTTACTACCCGCCACTTCAATTCTTCTATCTGCTGATAAAGCATACAGGCCGTCTTCGTGGGCACACCAGGATGTGTGTCATGTGTCTCCCCAGGAGCGCCACCCCACGAAGGTGTGTGGTCAGGGTGGCCATCATCCAACCGGGTGACAGACTCTGGGAGAATGACCTCATCAGTTCTTCTAGACACGTGGCAATCATATGTTCACATCCAGAGAATTATCCCCGTGAAGGGTTTCTTTAGAAAAATGAAGACTCCCACATGTGTCACCACGTGTGTTCCTTCATGAATAATTTTCCGATGTGCAGATGCTGATGGCATCTCCCACCTTTACTGGCATAGACTATATTGTTTTTAGCCTTCCGTCTTCCTCATCTTCTATTCATCATGCCTGGTTTTTATCCCTAGACTTTATCCAATTTTCTTACATTTTAAAAAGAGCATGGAGTCCAGAAGTGGACACTCCATGGGGATCTAGTAAGAAGAGAAGGGTAGTAAGAGTACAGGACATTGGGCACTCTGGGTTCCAAGTTCAACTATGCCATTACCTGTGATGGACACTTGGGCAGGTGAATTAACCTCCCTGGGCCTCAGGTTCCTTATCCAAACCCGAGTATTGTCATATGGGTTGTTGAGAGGTTTAATGAGGTTACTAGAGCATTTAACACAGAGCCTAGCATAAAACAATAATGAAAGTAATGACAGCAATCATATTCTTTTTGTTTTTGTTTGCTTGTTTTTTAAATTATTTATCTAATTCTATTTATTCATTTATTTATTTTATTTTGACCAGAGAGAGAGAGAGAAAGTGAGAAAGCAAGTCACCAAGTTTGGGATTCGAAACATAGTTGGCCACGTAGGAGTGTCCAGCTCCTTAACCACCACACCTCCTGCTGGCCCCAACAATTCTATTTTTAACAGTATTATTCTTTTTTTTTTGTTTGTTTTTTGTTTTTTTTGAGAGGTTTTTTCGCTATAGGGCGCGTGCGCTCACCAGACAGAGAGAGACATAGAGACAGAAAGCGAGAAATCACTCCCCCAGGGGGGATGGTCATGCCACAATCCCTTCTCCTCCATTCTCCTCTCGGGATCTTGGGCACGCACGCACACATGCCTGGCGTGAGTTTTAAGCCACTGGGTCCGGGACGCAAACCACGGTCAACGTGAGAGTCCAGCGACATAGCCATTACGCTAACTGCTGGTTCCCGACAGTATTATTATTCTTATAGGTCATTCTCCTGCTGTCATATCCCTGTGTTGTACCTTTCAAGAGCTATTGCATTACTGTATTACTAACACTGGGTTCATATTAAAGATGCTTAGGTCTTTTCCATTCGTGCCATATATATATTTTTTTTTTTGAGAGGTTTTTGCTATAGAGTGCGTGCGCTTGCCAGAAAGAGAGAGAAAGAGGGATAGACAACGAGAAATCACCCCCCCACACACACTGCAATCCCTTCTCCATTCTCCTCTTGGGATCTTGGGCACACATGCACATGCACCTGGTGTAAGTTTAAGCCACCGGGTCCGAGACTCAAACCCCAGCAGACTACATGGGAGTCCAGCAACATAGACATTACGCCAACTGCTGGTCCAATTTATGCCATATTTTTATCTTAGTTGTATTTTTCCTCAATCTTAAACCTAGGTAGTTTGTTTTTCATCTGTATACTTCACTATCTTGTGTGTGTCCCTGTTGATTTTTGGCAGCCTCATCTTGTTCCCTGGAGATACAGGCATACCATGATCCTAACCTACCATGGCTGAACAACATGGTGGTTGTTTTTATACAGCAGAAATGGACTAGGATACAATGCACCCAGACTTTGTGGCTGGGTAATTCATACCTGAGTTCTCTACGTAAGTGTCGTACTCCTTCTCATGTTTATTAATAAGAATCAAGTACTCCTCCAGGGCACCAGCCACTTTCTTCACAACTTTTCAAGGTGACCTACATTTAATGTACACTAATAAAACATGGCTGGCTTATTTTAGCACGCATCTATAGAATCTGCTAAATGAATAGATATTAATACATGAGCCCTTCACTACTGGGATTGGAGCTCTTTGGGAGATTTTTAACAAACATCAATCAGGAAGCCTACTCATTCTGAGGAATTCATCCTGTAGCTTCCAACTCAGGTTAAGATCTGCTGTGGTTTCCTCATGTCAGAAAATTCTAGAATAGCAATATTTATTTACATGATAGTTTGGACAACAGTTCACTGCATCAAAAAGTTTTCATTTTATTCACCTGTACTAAATGATGCCCACTGAGTAATTTAAGCCCATTTGGATTCTAGAAACTTTCAATAAAATTCTCAGATTGTTTTTTTTGGTGAAAGAATGGATTAAAGTTTCTTTTGAAGGAACATCTTTTTCACATAGCATGAATACAGGCGTTCCCATGGGGATTGGCTGCATACATTTCAGCTCTTCCCACAAGATCTCCATTGTTCTCCAGACATCTCTCTGTTTCCTCTGCTGTGTCCTGTTGCTACAATTAGCTTCTACTGAAAGCCTCTGAGGTTGGGTTATTCCAAATGACACTCAAGGACTCAGCCCTCTGTCTTTTGGCTGGAACTCATGCAGTCTAAGTTTGTAGCAGGCATGATCTCATAGCCACACACACAGAAATAGGCCTGCCAACCTATGTAGGCAAACACTCAAAAATTCTTTTTAATTTCAATATTTATTACAACTTACTGAAATACAAATAGCTAGGCAACATTTTCCTTCATGACGGGGGAACCTATCCTTCATCAAACAAACTTTTTAAAAGCAAGAATTTTGTGATCTGTCATAATGATTTCATACTATATCCACTTTCACCTGTAAATTAAGACTTTTCAGATCATCTTTTCTCTAGCATGCCATAAAGTCAGTGGTTTCAATTTGGAATCTAATTCAAATTCAAATTCTGTGGGTATGTTTTTCCAAAAAAACATATCCAGACTCTCAAACTACAAGGAAAATTCAATATCAAATATATCTTTATTTATATCTAAGTTTCATATGTCAAACAACTTTATGACCAATTCAAAGACTCTCATAAGTGTTTTTTCTATTTTTTTAAATTGAAAAAAAAAGATATAAATGTCATTCAATTCAATTGCTGATTACTATAGCAATTTAAATATGTACCTGAAAGAACAAAAAAAGGTACTTAGATTCAATTAGGATGTGTATGGTGTCTAAAATACCAAACCCTAAAGCAAGAGCAACACCAGTAATGGTGACGGTCCAACCCACTGACTGTAATGATGCTATTTTGTCTCCTTCAAAGTCATAGACGGGCCTGGTTTCTTGGCTGACTGCAGAAATGTTTCTTGCGGTAAACAAAAGTATGAAATAGCAATGAGACTAGATTATTATGGACTACAACAAAAATGCACATAATATGAATCTAGAAGCACAGCTTTCAGCTCCTGAGGCCTAGAGACATGTTTTAATAACCCACAGAAAAGTGGCTTTTTTACCCTAATAACTAAAATGCATGCCTACGTGGCCGACACGCAGCTCCCCAATGCACTCGATGTGCATAATCAGCCAGACCCTGGAAGTTTCTCGGCTCTATCCCCCAGCCCTACTGTAGCCCTTGCCTTGCTGCAGCTTCTGACATTTACTTTAATTAGCTTTTGTTTTTACTGAACAAAAGGATGGGGAAAAAAGTCATACCTCTTAGCCCAGGAAGCTCTGGCCATCCTAGGAAATAGAAGGAAAAAACACTTGATCTTTAAGGCTTTTCGTTGGAACCCATGCTCATGCTCAGAGGCAGTCCTGCAACCCCTGACCCTTTCCTCCTGTCCGGCCAGCTGTGGCTGCAGACTGTGCTGCTTGTCAAACAGTGCTACACTCCACTCCCTCCCCGTGGACTCGCTGTGTGGAGTCGGGCAAATGAGTAACTTCTCGTCCCTCTCCCCAACTTCTGCTTAGAACTGACAATTGGCACAAATTTCACTTTTCTCCAATAGATTTACAGAAGCTTCTCGGAGCAGATCGGTAGTCTGAAAGAATGGGAAGAGTTGCCTAACCACAGTAATTTAGGTTTTGTTAATGAATAACTCACTTTAAGGAATCAAGGAAGTTTTCAGTTAATATCAGATATGGGGCATTTTAGCAGGTATCCGTGAAAAGGCTCAGGGAGGGATGGAGGAAGGGAAGTGGTGGAATGAGATGTATTTCAGCCAGATATGACAAAGTAAAACACTAAACACTACAAGAGAAATTAAATGGTTAGTCTGAAGGAGCGAATGTTTAGCTATGCTACTGGTATTGCTAATGAAACACTGAACTACTGAATAAAGCACGCCTAGCAGAACAGCATTAAGGACTTTTCCAAGCCAGCTGGGTTCCTTCCTGCACCCATCTAAATTCCTAACTCACTTCCTTTTACCATCCAAATAGAGAACTCGTCTTCACAGACCTATACATTGGGGATCCCTTGCAAGCAGTTGTGCATCTCTTTACATCTTTCTCTAAGGAAAATGCATTTCAGAACCTCTAATGCATAAATTATTGGTGGTGCCCAATGGATTTTTTTTTTTTTAATCTGGAGGCTCTTCTGTTCCTT